AAGTGAGCAAGCGGCAATAGGCCTAATGATAATTTAAAATATAATTTGAAGAAGTGTTTCTTTCACAAAATGAGCATTGAATATATAACTATAAAATATACTATTTTTATATACGGTATACTATATTTTTCTCCCTCTTCACCAGGCACTCATGTCACTTCCATTTCTTTCGGGATAAATGAATGAATTCACGTGTTGTAAATCAGTCTGTAGGCCTGTAGGCGCACATAGCCCCTAAATTTAGCGATCAACTATGCATATTATAAACGTAACATTTAATGTACAACATTTTTTTCTATTAAATGATTTTGTCTGGCTCATTGGCTTTGATATAACACCTAGAAGCATATATTCTTATGCACACATGCAAAGTATGTTGCAGCTGTTATTTCTATTAAATTAAGTTGTCTTTGCTATTCTGTTACTAATAAAATAGTTTTTTTTCACTGCTTGTCCTATTTTGGCACAATCCCTAAATTGAACTTGAGTAGTTTTACTGAGGGCACCCATCTCACATGAAATTGAACTATGTCAAACATAGGCCTATTCTACCTGCCTTCCTGATATAAATTACTATAAATTTGATATGGTAATTAATACTGAGACACTAATTTGGGCAAAGAGCACTAATGACTTGTTTAAGACTTGAAGCTAAAAGTTGAGGACTTGCAACTCGACTTGGACTTGCCTGTCTTGACTCGGGACTTGACTTGGGACTTGTCTGTCTTGACTCGGGACTTGACTCGAGACTTGAATGCAAAGACTCCAGATATATATATATATATAGTAACGCGAACTCCCACCACATGTGGGCGCGACAAATACAGTTCTACACCGCGTCCTGTAACAGAAGTACCGACGGAACCGTCAGCCAATCAGCTTTGCTGCTACAAATCTCGTCAATGTCCTACATCTGTAAGCCAATCAGCGACGCCGTGACTTTGGGAAACGGACTAGAGGATTTCCAAGATGGTGCTCGAAAGTACTATGGTCTGGTAAGAAATAAACAAACGCGTTGTTTTAGATATATTTGCGCTTTTTACATAGTTAATACTCCTCATAATTACTGTAAATACATAGGGTTTTTTGTTCAGTTTATTTGTTGTTCATGAATGACAAATGCTTTTCATCTTTCATGATTAGTCAATTGTGAATATTTTGGGTAATACAATTTACAATTTTTTTTCACCAAATCTTTTCCAGCTAGTAAAGTTGGCAAAGCGGTTGAAAAAAGAAAAGGTCAATGTCGATGTGATAAATTTTGGAGAAGAGGTAACTGGCATGAAACTTTTTTTTTTGACCACTTTAAAATCTTTTCCGATTTCCTTGCTTTGATTTTTCACTTTCTCTCTTGTAATCAATCTGTTCAGGAAGTGAACACAGAGAAACTGACTGCATTTGTGAACACTCTGAATGGAAAGGAGGGCACAGGTTCTCATCTGGTCACAGTGCCCCCTGGGCCCAGCCTGGCTGATGCCCTTCTGTCTTCTCCCATCTTAGCTGGTGAGGGTGGTACCGTGATGGGTGCAAGTGACTTTGAGTTTGGAGTGGACCCCAGTGCAGACCCAGAACTGGCCCTGGTAAGATACAAATTCTTCTTTTGTATAACTGCACTGAAGAACGAGTCCATAAACTTAACAGGTGAAATGTATCATTTATTTTACGGTGAAACTACTGATACATATGTTAAATATGCAGAATGATCGTGAGTAAAGCATTTATAGGTTGATTCCTTCAAAATGTGTGAACACTTAAGCTCTGTGATTAAATTTGATTGTTTACCAGAGACTTTTTTTATATTTTTACTTTAATCTCACTTGATCTTTTCTAATTACATTGAAAGGGGAGATGTTTCTTTAAGTTGCTCTTGATCCACAGGCTCTGCGTGTATCTATGGAGGAACAAAGGCAGAGGCAGGAAGAGGAGACTCGAAGGGCGGCCGCCCAATCAGCAGCTGAGGCTGGCATTCCCACCTCAACCGCTGACGGTAAGGATGTGCGTAAATGTTTGAAATAGTGAAGGATGATAAGCATAGTGGCTCTGGGCTAGTACTGGGTAGATTGCAGGTTTCAAAATGTACCAACATTTTAAGGATTGCGTATTAGGTCTTGCTGGTTAGTATGACCCTGTTAGCCACTGCTGGTAGATGCTGGTACTACACGATCTGGCAGCATAAAGCCTCTTTCACATTTTTGTAGCCTTTCATGGTGACTTTAACATGGTCCTCATTCTGAATAACCTTTTCATGTATTGATTCATTTGAGTAGCCTGTTCATTTTCAAGTAGTAAAATTGCACTGTTTGCTTTTTATTATTAAACAGATTGTCAGTCTTTGATTATTTACCGTTTAGTTGATTCCCATTGCAAGACCAAGTCCTGATTTTCTGTGCCACTTTTGTTCTCCCCTTCAGAATCAGAAGAAGCTCTTCTGAAGATGTCTGCCTCTCAGCCTGAGAGCGGTGTGGCAGCACTGCCAGACTTCAGCAGCATGACAGAAGAAGAGCAGATAGCCTATGCAATGCAGATGTCCCTGGCAGGTGGAGGTTTGTGCCTCCTCCTTGTACCTTCTTAGTCTTAGAATATGCTCAGTGCTTGACATAGTATGTAATATTGACCATTATACCTCTTATGTCAGAATTCGGAGAATCAATGGATACGGGAGCTCCAATGGACACTGCGGAATCTAAGGTAATTAAAATATCGTCTGCTGGGCTCATCAGTCTCAGGATACTGTAATCAAATTTCAAATTTGCTTGTATTTTATAGTGTCAAATTGCTGAGCAGTTTTTGTTCATTATATATACGGACCCCATGTCTTTTCCTTGTGACAGAACACTGTTCCCTTATATTCCCTGCTGACTTGTCTTTTCTCTTGCGCTTTTTAACTGATTCTACAGGAAGAGGATGATTATGATGTAATGCAGGACCCAGAATTCCTCCAGAGTGTCCTGGAGAATCTACCTGGTGTTGATCCCAACAATGAGGCCATCCGTAATGCCATGGGCTCCCTAGCCTCTCAGAGTGGTAACAAACAAGAGGGGAAAAAAGATGATGAGAAGAAGAAATAAATTAAAGTGTCCTGTGATTGATGTACAAGCCGTTTGACATGTGAAATGAGTTCATTCAAGAAGTGGCTATCCGAAGTCCTTATAAAAGCAGTTTTAGATGAATATGGATTTGCTAAGACATTCACTACCAAATTACTGCAATGTTGTGTGGTACCTCAAAAATTCACACATAGCTTGCTAATAATCTTTTTCCCCTTCTGTTCTGTGCACAATTGATTGAATATTTGATAAAACCATCTGAATGGTTTCTGCTTTTCCTATTGCCATTAAAACACATGACATCTGGTCACAAGCCTTACAGTTTGTTATTTTGCTTAAAAACACATTTTACCTGGGTTTGTCAGTAGGATTTTTGAAAATAAAAATTACACATGTCAAGCAGTATGTTTTATTATTATTTTTTTTTAAAAGAATCCACTTAAAAGCATAGAATCTTTTGGATCTTTTCAAAGCCATTATTTTCCAGAAATATTCTAATGTTCTCAAGATCTACACATTTTTACAATAAACAGTACATTTTTGTCCCAGCCAGACATTCATATATGAGATATAGAACGCTCAAGGTTAATTTACATTTAACCACCTCTCAATATTACAAAATTGAATTTTAAAAGGTGTTTTTTTTACAGAGGAAGGACTAGGAGGTTTTGGAGTTATACAGGATTATGTATATCTATTTACAGATCTTTTACAGAACCAAAACTGTCACTGAAGGCACAAAAGGAGATGATATATGGCAGTACAGAGATAACTGAGATAAGGCATAGTGACATGACCCCAGTAATACAGTATGTAAGAGTGGCTAGTGGGCAACAACTTTTAAACTGAATGAACCTGAGGGTTGAAAAAGCATGTTAGAATGAAGAGTCGTAATGCAAATTTTTCACACTGTTCAAGATGTAAAAAATACAAGTTAAGCATTCTGCCAATATTTGCTTTACACATTGGAACTGTAAAACAGATAACAGCATCGACACATATTTGTGTCAAAACGTTCATTTTAAAGCATAATATCTGTGGGAAAATGTCTACCTTCTAACATTATCAATGATCAGTGTACTTGTACATATGCATCTCCCATTGCATGAAGTATGTAATGTTCATAAAGGCCCAACACGCTGGTTAGTTTTTCAGTACAGTCGGCACATTCAAAACTCTCCTCTGACTCTTCTTCTTGAGTAGGTTGTTCTACTTCCATGTCAACACTTGTCTCCACAAATGTAGGGCTTCTCTGACAGTTGAGGCTGTAATTATGTTGACCATTTGCCATCATCTTTATGCTTTCACTTGAATTTAGGTTGGTGGTTTCCTGATCTGAAGTGGCCTGAGGTAGGTGTGTGCTGTCAGATTGAGAAGTGATTTTACTATTTGGAAGTTCAGGACCAGGATTCTGAGAGTCTGAGACCTCTGGTTCATCAGGGTCCAAATTAATGACCGGAAGCTGCACTCTGTGACTAGGGGACACATAGAGCTTGTCAGGGTGGGAATAAACATACAGGCTGTCATCATTGGGTATGCCATCAAGTTTGAGGTTTGATATATGATTCCTGTGAGTGGAAGGTGGGGAAGATGGTGTGTCATTACAACAAGAATCCGACAATTTTGAGGTAGGTAATACTGCTGGACGGATGTAAGTCTTTGCATCTCGAGAATGGCGTATCTGATGAGCGTAGAGCAAATCTCCAGTTGAAAAGCTAGCTTTACACCTTTTACATTTGTGAGGAAAATCAAGTGGCTTTGATGGAATATCAGGGAGGGCCGGTCCATGGTGTGGGGTGTGCGTTTTCAAGTGTTCCTTTAAGACTCTTGTATTTGTGAATGATAGATTACAAAGGAGACAAATGTGAGAGGTAGAACCATTGTGCAGAAGACTGTGTTTGATTAGGTTTGTTAAACTACTGAAAGTCTTAGAACAGACATCACATTTCAGACTTTTACAAAGTTTATGAGACTCACATTGGTGAGCATGTAAGCTTGCCTCCTGAATGAAGGTTTTGGGACAGAGTGGACAAGCATATGGTCTCTGCCCGGCATGGTCAATCATATGCTCTCTAAAAGAGCTAAAGAAACGAAACTGCAGATTGCACTGCGTACAGGAGTAACAACGGCTTTTTAGGCGATGACGCTGCTGATGTAGCCATAGTTTACTCCACCTTTCAAAGAACTGTCCACAATGTGCACAAGTATATCTGAAACCAGGAGCATGCGTTTGCAGATGAGCACTCAAATCCCTGTACCTCTCGAATCGCTGACCACAACGTAAACACTTAAATTTCCAAATACTCTGAGTGATTTCAATGCATTCTAGAGAGCTACTTGGGGAAGTACAGTTAACATCAGAACGAGCAGGTGACTGGGCATTTGGGAGCTTGATGGGTGAATGAGTAGAGTATGTTTTAGGAAGTTTTGAAAGATCTGTATCTCTTGTTTGTGTAGGTTCCACATCCATCGATCGAGGCAGCTGCGGGAGCTGTTCTGATCTGGTTGGTGTTTGGGAATTCAGCTGAAATCCTGTACTTGGTACACTCTGAGATGAGGTACACTTTAGAGGGTAGATTTGGGTAACACTTTGCAGGATTTCGGCGAGTGATGCACAACAAATCTTCTCCTCCCCACTTGACTGGCAACAAACCTCACAGTGCACATTCATCTCTGAATCCTTCTCATAACACTGTCCACAAGAAAAACAAATATATGGGGGAGAGCTGGTGTGTGTTTGAAGGTGAAGAGTGTATTGGCACCATTTCCTGAAAAGCTGTTTGCATATTTGACACTTGAAGAATACTGGTGTATTCACTTGACCATCAACTCCTTGACTTACAATGAAGCCCTCAATGTTACTGCTCGCCTCATCATTTCTCCTTGCGATGCATGTTTTGGATGCTTGGTGCATCCTAAGTGCAGACAGGGCACTGAATCCATGACCGCAGTGAAAGCAGGAGAAAGGTGTCTCACCAGCATGGTCTTGAGAATGCTTTTTTAGGGCTTTTAGTTGGTTAAAGCCTTTTCCACAAATCGAGCAAGCATATGGTTTAACAGGCCAGTGGGTTTTTTCATGAGCTATGAGGCTTGACTGTTTCCAAAATGTCTTCCCACAGTCTTTACAAGTCAAGGGCTTCTCCACTTTATGCACTTGCATGTGATCCTGCAATTTGACGCGTTTTACAAAGTTTTTCTTGCGAATAAGGCACCCACAATTGTTTGGGGTCTCCGAAGACACATTTGATGAAGTATTTCTCTTGCTCTTTATGTGCTTCTGTGGTTCACTGTTTGCTTTTGATTCCTGCAGGTGAACTTTAAAATGACATAGCAAATCATCTTTCTGCAAAAACCTTCGGCTACAGCAAGGACAAGGAAAAGAGGTATCCTGTTTATGTACGTTATGGTGGGACTTTAGTTTAGACAGTTGAGAAAAGGTTTTTCCACAGATCTTGCATTTGTAGGGTTTGTCCCCTGTATGAACGCGTTGATGAATGGTATATGCTGTAATGTGCCGAAAGGAAACTCCACAGTATTTGCAGGTGAGAGGTTTCTTCATTATTTCTTTAGGCTTGGATCTTATTGTCCTGTTATTAGTCATTTTGTTTGGCATTACAACACAGTCTTCACTATCCTGTGTGAAACTATCCTCCTTCCATTCTGTAGAAGGCTGGAATGCATTTTCTGGCTCTGGTGGGTTATCAAGTATTTTTTCCCCTGACGTTTCCACGCTTAGTCCATCTGCTTCCGGAGTACATTTCAGCTCAATGTTGGGTTTAAATTTTGTATCCAGAGAAATTTGTTCTGACTCTTCCTTGACCACATTACTAGAAATTATATGACAAATTCCTCTTGAGACTCCTGTATTATCAGTATAGGATTGCACAGAAACCTCAAATGAATCTTCCACTTTGCACTTCTTGACTTCTTTCATTAAATTGGAGGACAGGTCACTGGGAGAACTGCATAGGATGTCTCTTTTTGGTGTTATCTTGCAGGTCCCTGCAGTTATTGGTGGGATCATTTCAACATCGTCTGACTTGGTTTTCTCAATATCATTTTTCTCTGGTGTAACTATATTATTTTGGTCCTCAGTGGGACATTTACTGGTCATACTGAACTTTGTCAGTAAACCTTTGGCTGGTTCACAACAATCTTGTGTTTTTAATCTTTGAAGCTGTCCATCTTTAATTTTTCGTCTCTTCCGACCACGTTTTCTTCCTCTCATTACTTTAATTGTTGCCTTATTCTCTATCTTTTTATCTGCCAACACATTGCCATCTTGTATAGCATTTTTTTCACAGAGTTTCTGTTTCTTCACTGTCCCAGACATAGGCAACGATGTGTTCCCTTCCTCATTAAACACATTTGTGGAGTTTTGTGGGAGGGAAGTTATGTCTGCTTTTTGAAAACCTTTGACTGATGTTACAGATGTTCTGCTGGATACTCTCAAGCTTGTTAACTTTGGGTCTCTTATTGGTCTTTTAAGGTTCTTCCCTTTTTTACGCCCAGATGTAGGGATGCTGTGTGACAAAAGATCATTAGCACTCTGAAGGGATTTCGAGGGATCAGTCCCCAATTGTTTGGTAACAATTACATTTTTATCCATATCTTTTTGCTTTATTGGACTTGCAGCTGCATTGACAGTACTTTCTGTGCTGTCTTGACATGGAGAAAGATCTGAGATCTGGACAGATGGAGAGGTGTTATCTTCTAAATGTGCTACAAATAATTTCTGTTTCTTGCTTTTCTTTGAAGGGGGTCTTCCTCGTCTTGGTGGCTTTTTCTCAACAGTGTATTGGTCTTCACAATCAGCAGTTTGCATGGAACTTGAAAGAGTCTCTCCAAGTGTTGTGTGACACCTAGTGATGTCTAAAGAGACTGTGCTCTTGCCCTGGGTTAACAAATTCTCAACAACTGGACCTGAGTTTATTTTTTGTGTCCGGGTTGATTTTCTTGATTTCAGTACTGGTTCTTCTATAATATCTGTTATCCTCTGTGAAATTTCAGAAGTTTGAATTTGTGCGCTGTTTTGAAAATCACAGACAATTCTGTTGTCATAACATATATCTTTATGTTCCTCTTCTTTAATGGTTTGAGTTAACAGGCAAGCCATCTTCCTCTTCTTTCGTCCAGGTTTTCTACCCCTTTTCTTAGGGGGTTTTGTGGCTTTGAGGTCTTTTTGATCAACCACAGCATCATCTTTTTCAGGCTGCTGTGATCCTACGGTCTGACTATCAGACAGTTTACATAAATCTGCAACCTGTGTACTAGTGACCATGACACCTGCCTCATCTGATCCAGTATTTTTCTCTTGAGACAAAGAAACACTAGTAAATCCATGTGTTTCTGCAATTTCTATGGATTTTTTGGATTTCTTCTTAGCCATCTTTAAATGCCGGTCACAGCTGACTGTTTCAAAATTCTCAGAGGCTACCCCTCTCACAACAGATGGTAAATCTGACATTTTGTCCTCTCTGTGAGCCAGCTCTAGGATATTGCTTTGTTCATTCTCTTCTTTTTGCTCAAGCAATTGTTTCTTTCGTGTTTTCTTTGCCTTCTTCAGTGAGCTCTGAGGGCTGGCAACATCTTTAGTAGTGATGGAAACCTGGTTTTCAACATTACTTTCAGCTGTTTCATTCACATTGTCTGTATTTATGCAAGGGTCTTGTGTTGCATCCTTACTCTGAGATGCTGGTGGAGGCAGAACCACGTCCTTTGGTTGATCATTTGTGACTTTCAGTTCCGATGTTCTCTTTTTCTTCCATTTCTTTGTCATGTCTTCTGACCTGACCTTTGTCTTTCTGTTTGAAACGGAATTTTCTTGCTGCACAGTAGACTGTTCTCTAATATCGCTGATTGCTTGTTTAATGTCTGTTTTGCATTTAGTGGCCTTTTTAGGCTGTTTTTTCATCTTCACTTTTGTCTTCTTTTGTTTGAGAACATCTGAATTATCCATTTCTGTGGCTGATGTAGAATCAAATGTATGGATTTCTTGTTGCATTGTTTGGTCAGCTGCGGGTGTATGTACTGCTTCATGTTTAATGTCAGACATTTTCCTAGATCTTTTTGCTGTGCTGTGAACTGAAGTTGAAAAACATTCTGTTTGCTTCAGAGTAAGTGTAGAAGCCTGCATTTTGAAAAGAGCAACTGAATGGTTTGAATGGTCATCCTTAATTTCCTGCCTAATTGCCTTTTCCACAGTTCTTTTTTCTTTTAAAGTCATTTGTGAACTGGAGGCTACTATGTTTGCACCAGATTTTGAGGGTACTGCAGCCAGATCTTCTTGCTGGTTTACACTGAGTATTTCTGCTGCCTCATTTTTGATTTTGGTTACCGTCTTTTTTCTTGGCTTTTTCAGTGTGCTGCTTACTCTAAAACTGCTTGAAGAGCCAATCTTTGTAGGTAAAATAGAACTTTCTTGTGTCACAGTTGCTAATAAAGATGTTTCTTCAACCAAATTACCATTTAAGTGGTTGTCATTTGTTTTGTTTCTAGAAAATCCTTTGGCTTTCACAGTCTCTTCTGGATTTGAAACCACAATAGATGAAAAATCTTCTGAGGGCAGTAAAGTGACGTCATCCTGTTGGCTAGTAGTGGATGATTGTGCTTCTATAAACTTGATGTCTGTCTTTCTCCTCTTACTTGATGTCTTTTCTGTGTTCTGTTGGCTGACACCTGGATAGTCAGTTTCTGTAGCATACACAGAATCAACTGAAGAAAGAGTCATATGAGCGGGTTCACAGTTCTCACCGACTGTGTTATGAGAAACTTTTTTGTCAAGTTTTTTTCTTGTTCTGAATCTTTTTGTAGTTGGTTGCACAATGCTGACATCAGATTCTGAGAGTGCATTCAAAACACTTTGTTGAGCTGTTGTTTGGTCAACAGCAGGTACATGTATTGCTTCACATTTAATCTGTGACAATTTCTTTTTCGGTGACTTTCTTGGTGTGCCGAAAATAACAGGAGACTCAACTTCATTTCCTACATTTGAAACAGAATCTGGTTGCGTAGCAGTGGCTGCAGAAGGCTGTGTGTCCAAAAGAGTAGTTTCATTGTCATCTGTTCTAATTGCCTTTTTTAGAGGACTTTTTGCTTTCACAGTTTTTGTTTTGTGAGTCATCGTGTTTTTCATATCCTCTTGTGGGCACACGTTGGGTGTTTTTGCTGATTTGTTGATATGTGCTCTTTTCTTCTGCTTTGATTTCTTTGGGTTATTCTGAGGGCTTAGAATCTTTAAAGATTCAGCCACTGAGGTGGAAACAGAATCTGTTTGACCCTCAGAGTCTTGTGAAGACTGTCTATTCAGCAGACTAGTTGCATTCCTATTTTTTCCTTCAGAAGCCTTTAAAGGAAATCTTCTCACCTCCTGATGCCCTTTGACATCCATGTCTGCCTCAACTTCTGGAAATGTTGTGGGAACATCTTTACGTGGATCATCTTTGCTTTGTAGTGTTTGCTTTGTAGCCCTTTTTCTGGACTTTTGTAATTTTTCTGGAATGGACTCTAGACTAGAGATGGCATGTTCCATTACTGCTGGATTACTGACTCCTTTCATTGGAGTTGTGTCACTGACCTGAAAATGTGATGTACAGTCCTCTTCTGGGGACAAGACAGTGCTTTGAGACGAACACTGATTGCCAAGAGTAGCAGAGTTTTTTGCCTTTAAATGTAACCTTGTTTTTTTCTTCAGTTTCTTTCTAGAAACAGCCTTCCTGTTGATCCTAGCATTTGACGGTACTTCTTCCTGTGAAGCGTCAGAGCAGCTATGATCGGGCTTTTGTGAGGTCTCTGCTGTATCTTCCAGTAGCTCAAGTTGTGCCATCCGACATTTTTTCCTAGGTGTAGGTGGGTTTACATAATTTGTAATTAAGTCCTCTTTTGGTGCAGTGCTGTTATGATCAGCCAATAAAACATTTTGATTAGCTTTCTCACATCCTGTTGTGTCTAGTTTGACAGCACTGTCTAATAGTTCTGATCCATACATAGAACAGTCATCTCTTTTATTAGATTTGTATATTGGTCCTTTTAATGCCTCAAGCTCAGATTGTTTTCTTTTTCTTGCTTTCTTATGCCTTTGCAATGCTTTTTGTAGGTTATGTTGAGAGGAGCAGTCCGTCCTTGATGTGGGAGAAGGTGGAGCTTCCTGAACATTCTCAGTAGATGGAGGAATACTGCTTTCTGAAGTAATGTTGAGAAGTACCTTTTCACTTTTTTCAGAGTTTTTTACATTCTCATTAAAAGGCAGAAGAACCGTACTTAGACTTATTGGGGTTTGTTTTTCTTGGACATGAATATCACATTCATCTGCAGTTCTTTGAGTAAAAACAGAAGTTGAGGTAAGTGTCACATTTTTGGAATTTCTCTCTTGAAAACAAAGCTCATTTAATTTGCCACTTTCGACTGGTTCAAACTGAGAATCTTTGCATTTATAATCAGTGTGAATTCTGTTGGATACAACAGTTAGATCTGGAACTCTCTCTGGTAATGAAGAAGAGTTCTGAATTTCAGGGGAAAATTTTGTTTCTACCTTTAGACTGAGTCCAGTTTTTGTGTTAATAGATGTCTCTTGAAAATCATTAGTTTCAATTTTTCCTGGCACAGGTAGACTGTTCTCAGAGATCCTTTCTTCTGTTGGGATCCGCAGTTTTAAGTTTTGACATTCAACCACAGCTGTGTTTTGACTGCCCACTGAGGCTGGAGTGGATACAAGATCATAAACTTGCTTTTTTAGCTTACTGCCAAAGTATTGACTTTTGGGCAGATATGCAGCATTTTGTTTTATTACTGTAGTCTCAGAGACATGTGGATTGCTTGCCTTTACTCTCTCATCTTGCACATTGTGCTGTGAGGAGTGATCCTGAGAATTAACTGAAGTTTTTCCATCTGTAACCTCTGCTTGGTGACAGCCCTTTTGAAGATCAAGAAGATGAAGACCATATACAGTAGAACTTTGAAGAACAGTTTCATTGTTTACTTCTGCATGTTTGAAGCCAGTATTTGTGCTGGCAGTTTTTCTAGGACTGACACCTTTGCACGACAGCCCACATTGTTGTGTTGTTCCCTGGAGGGTGTGATCAACAGACTGGTTGTCCAAAGGATTACCTGGAAACTGTTCGCTTTCCATAAGACTTTCTGATGAAGAAAAAGGAGTGTATGAACTCCTGTTAAATCCTGGTAATAACCCTGGCTCATGTTCTCCGATTCCAGCAATTCCAAGTTCATCTTTTCCTAGAGATGATCCAACATCTAATATGCTTGGCTCCTCATGTTTCCCCTGAGAACAGAAGAAATATATGACAATAAATTAATTATTTGTTCTTTGATGGCTTATTTTGCATTCTGTTTTATAAAATCTACATTCAAATTTTTTTTTTATATCAGCACCTACCATTTCCAGAACATCTTTATTTTTACTAATGTCATCTGACAACATTAAAATAAAGGAATCCGATTCTTCTTTTACTCCTTGCCCATCCATCTTCTCATTTAGTTTGGATCCTGCAATCTGATAGTGGTCCTTCAATCTAAAATGTGCCTCAGTTTCAGGTCCTTTATATATAGGATTATAGTCCATTAGGGGGCCACGTTCATCCATGGATAAAGTCTGTTCCATTTCCATTCCATTACTCATTTCTAAAGCATCTTTGATCACTGATGTCCAATTACCATTTCCCTGGTCCACTTCTCGGTTCTGTGAAAAGACAGATATTAAGTGACAATGGAGAAATAACATTTATTTTGGTTATGCAGTGTAGAGGTTACATACCTTTTCATGTGTCACATATACTTTTAATCTTTATACCTGCACCTTCTCTGTCTTGTACGGCAACATTCTCAAGTCTGAAACTGCCCAAACTTATCTGACATACCTCTATGGTATAGAGTAAGGAAGTAACTGTAAGTCACATTTTTACAAGTTTACAAATTTTTACAAGTTTCAATAAAACTTCTCGGTTCTGTGAAAAGACAGATATTAAGTGACAATGGAGAAATAACATTTATTTTGGTTATGCAGTGTAGAGGTTACATACCTTTTCATGTGTCACATATTGGGCACACCTGAGAGGAAGCATATGTGTGGCACTAGCTAATGCTTCACCCAAAGGGTCTTTCAAAAAATCACTTTCTTCCCTTCTCTCCACTGCTATCTTTTCATCCACTGCAGTGTCAGGTTTGATGAGACAATGATTATCAGGAGAATAGGAATATTTATCAGAGTTTGTTAACATTGCTGAAGAAGTTCCATGGTAATCTGGTAGCAAAGCCTTAAATGCACCACTCATACATGATGACAGTGGTGTCACTGGTTCTCCAGCAGCAAAGCTGTCTCCTATCACGTCATGCTCCTAAAGAGATATTTGTGTTTAGAAGTGAGGAACTGGATGCAACCAAAGTATTCTATAGTCTTTGATGCAACCTAATATTGTTGCTCTTCAACCTTACAATTAAAATGTCACCTACCTTTGGCTTTGTTTGGAGCCGTGAGAGAACTCTTCTGCTTTTTCACAATAATTCGCCTCAGTCATTACTTTATCACAATGTACAAAAATAAAATGATTGTAACCTACCTCCTGACGTTCCCCTGCTGTATCATAGTGAACCCTACTGTTATGGCTTCCATGTTTATTCCATGGTGGTAACTCGCCATCCATGGTAGCCAGATGGTTTATTGGAGATAAAATGCTCTCATGAAATGCCTGTGAGGGGGGAAAATTGTTTAGATTTAGTTCTAAGTTTAAACTCAAGATTTGAGCATTTCTTATAGATCAAAAATTTTTAAAACCAAAATGAATTTTTAATATATTTTAAATATATATATATATATATATATATATAT